GGGGTTGGGGTTCTTAACTAATCTTCTACCCAAAAATTGTGAATATGTGCTAGAAAATGATAGTATGATTGGTGTGGTTGCTGGAATTGATTGGAATGCCCAAAGGTCATATTTCTTTATATGAGTTTACACAGTCTTATTGATACCTCTTATAGCTACTGTTGATACTTAAAAGCTCTTTGTACTTAATTGTTTATATGTGTTATGAACATTATCTCTTTGTATTAATGTTATAGGACTTTCTAGTGTTTTTACTTTTTCTGTTTAGTCTATATCATAAGAGCGTAGCTTGAAGGATATCTAATATGATCCTTTTAACAAAATTATGCTTTTCTATATATATATATATATATATGTATGTATCGTGAATGAGAAAGGAAAACAAACTTCATTAGTAATGATATAATTATAAGTCGGATTGTAAGTTTACAGTTTTAATGTGTTAGAAACTAGTAAATGTATATAATATTATGAATAAGTTCTTAAATAAAAGGAGTTAATCATATAATAATAAATCAAAATTATAAATTTACAATCTTAGAAGACATTGTTATAACTACATCATAACAAATTCTTTTTCTAATTATTTTCCTTTGTACTGCCCCAGTTTTGCTCAGTAGCTCTCACAAAAGTGCTAGCGCCATTATCATATGGTCTCTATATTCTCAATGCTAATAAATAAAAACTCTTATCTAACTGTTTTTTTTTTTTTTAATGAAAGTATGATTGTATTAATACTTTGAAACAATTATAATGTAGATTATACCTCACCGTTTAGGTTGTGCAATAAATATAAAATAAGTTAGAAAAGGCATATGATACTAACTTAAAAAGTTATTGCTCTTTACAAATAGAACCATTAAGTACTGAAGGCCTCTAGATATTAGATATCAATAAAGCTATATAAAGATAGAGAAAGATTACTTTAGAGTTGTCTATTTTTTATTAGTAACCACATCTATTTTACCATTCAATTCTAATATGGGAAATTAAAACAAACCTCTTCAAAGTTTTTCGTGATGCATGGCCTTCACTCTGCTATTTTGGCAAGGTGCCGAAAGGGTATGTCTTCTAAAGGAGAGGGCAAAGCCTGTTGCCCCAAGAAGCCGCCATCCTGCTCTGTTCCTTTGCTTGTATCCATAGCCTTCTTGCCATTGGATTCTTGTTCCTTGTGATCCAGTTGGTTTTCATTAAACAATTGCCTTTGGTGCTCTAATTTCCTTGCCCTCCTGATCACCCACGGAAGATGCTGCCGCTGTTGGATTAACAAGTTGCTGGTCTTTATTGGTTGGGAGCCTTACGTCGGGGACGCCACCAGCTTACTATCTGACAAAAAAATGACCTCGAACTCTTCTGGCCGTTAGTTGTTTTCATGCTCTGCCCTTAACCATGTTCCATATGGTTGAGGAACTTTTTCCCCTGTCTCTTTTAGTTTAAAGCCAATCTCACAATAAAAAAACAACATGCTCCATGCATCAGCAAATAAAACAAAAATCTAGCAATCGTCCATATTTAATCCTTAGTCTTCTAGTTTTTATGGTTGAAATTCTCACATCCTTGAAATGCCTCAGCAAGCTACACACTTCCAAATTGATTCTGACCCTTAATGCCTTAGCGAAAGACTCATCCACCTCAAGGACCCTCCCCATGCTACCTCCAATCCGTTGTCCTACTACTTCTCCATGGGGCCCACAGGGAAGGCCGTAGAATTGAACCCCAAAAGGAGACACTAAGAAGCCATAGTTTACAGAAGTCCATGATTTATCAAAAAGTCTCAAAATAATCAAGGAACAATCAAAATTCCAAGCGATTTTTGCATCATTCTATCCAAATCATGACTGTTTGCGAATTGGAATAAAAAAATTCTCACTTACCTCTTTGACTTGTACATTAGATCTAATTTTCCATGAGGATGCAATTGCACTTTGTAGGCTTGTCACGCCCCAAACCCTGGAGCGAAATAGATGCCGTATACTTGTGAATAGGACCCACAAGTGCACTAGGATTAGAACCAAGCTAGCTTACTTATTCATAATCAATTACAAACAAATAAAATTTGTTAATATCTCTATTATTTTTTTTTATGGGAAATAGAGAAATATATTAAATAATAAGAAATTACAATAGAATTTCCATCTCATGCCATATAACCAAAATCAAAATAACCTAAGGATGAAATCAGAACCATTACATACAGCATTAGTAACAGACTTAAACTGTGCCCATGACGCACATAGACAATTAGGAAAAGAGAGTCATCTGCAATTAGGGATTGAATTTACAATCGCTGTATGGGTTAAATAGGACTACTAATATAGAATGGGGAGTCACTATGAGCATTAAGAACTATTGGACATCCTCACCTATTTAACCAGCTTCTTGGGGAGAGCAAGTGATTCTGATAATAAACAGTTCCCAACTAACAAGTTGTCGCCCTACTTGTTCTTAAAGAAGAACAACTAGGAGGGGTATGGGCCTTTTCTTGACAAGCACAAGGCTCCCCAGGCGCCTCCATATACTCCCAATCATGTTCCCATCTTTCCTGATCCTTTTTAAACCCATGCTATCGAAACTCATTAAGGGAATTAGAGCCCCTTTATCTACTTGAAAATCAAGCTTCGCACGCAGACCATAGCCGTCCTTACCAACAACATCCCTTTCTTTCAACAGTCAACTAGCTGATTGGAAACTGGTGTGAATCAGATTCACCGAATTCGACCCCTGCCAAGATCCCATCTGAGAAGATGCACCAAAACGAGATTCTTGCCCGTTAAATAGGAGAAACCCACTTCACCGGCAAGATCAATTCTAGTTGCAGCCTTCAAAAATTAACAAATGTAAACCCTAGAAAACCCAAAAAGCCACTGCCTTGTGGTCCCTTGGTTTGGAGTTTCCAAAGCAAGACAACGATAAGAGGAAAGAGGAGATTAAGAGGAGGAGGGGAGGGATGAAGGAACTCCTATGCCAAAGAGAAACCCTAGGGAGAAAAACCTGCCACCACTACTCTCAACCTTAGAAGCAATGCACAGGAGAAACCCTAGGGAGGCCAAGAGTTGAGTTTTTAGGTGTATATCTCTGTTATTATTAAAATTTAAGTAATGTTCAAATAAATATTTTAAACTCAAATTATGTAATAATTGCAAATCAAATCTTTAATTTTCTAATAAGCTCAAAAGAACTAAATCAAGTCTCAACTAAGTCCAAACTGACTCTAATAAATATTCGTCATACGCCCTGATCCTCGATGTCTCTAGTATTGTTATTTGAAATGGTGGATAAAGAAAAATGTGAGATATAACCTCAGTAAGTGAACATTAGACTTCCCTTTTTTAATTTATAAATTGTAAAATTAAGCATGTCGACAAGTATAAATCAAGTATTAAGAAAAATTAGTACAAGTATGGAAATGAAATAAACGTCTCCTCTATAAGTCATGGTTAGCGTTTATAAACCTCTCACTGGCAGGCACAAGATTTGTTAGTGTGTAATCCCACAAGCAGAATAACAAGTATAGCAAGAATGAATTAGTTCCACAAGTAGCATGTCGACATGTGCTAGCATTTATAAACCTCTCATTAGTGGGCACAAGTAGAGCATCAATATATTAGAGACTAAAATAGGCTAGCAAATGCAATTCAAGTAAACATGCTTATTTCAAGAAAAACATATATCACAAGAATCAAGTAGGATGTATTAAGAACTTTCTATAAATAGGTTTGTTTAACCAAAT